TACGCGTGGATATAAAGAACGTCGAAAACAGAGCTCGTATGCGAAAGTTATGATTTTTCTAAGTTTGAGGGCTGATACGCGATAGGGGGTGACGTGGCACCACCAGAATTGGACACGTGGCACCACCAGAAGGCCACCACATGGACCAACTCGGCGAGTAGGTCCCCCCTACTCGGCGAGTAGACCATTCAGCACCCCTATAAATAGAGGTGTCGGGTTCCATTCAATCTCACACCTTCAAATCCTTCTTTCTCTCTCTAAACTCTCTCTCTCTAAGCTTCCTAACCCCCCTAAAGCATAGGGTAACTCCCTAGCACGAGGCGGAAGCCCCGAAGCGCCCGACGGCTCCGAGAAAAGAGCCTTTCGGCTCGGGAAACGCTGCTCCAGCGAAGCCCGGTTTTGCGAAAAACCCGCTGTAAGTGAGCTACGCCTACGCTAGTTTTAATATAGCTTCTAATTAATTATAGTAACATTATTAGGACCTTAAAATAATTATTTGGGCTATTATTATGAGTTATATTGAGTGTTATTTAACGCTTATATAATAATAATAATAACTATACTATTAATTAGTCGCGGTTAATGTTAGACTAAACCCTAGTGGTGTTGATACTAGGTTTTATCGAAGGAAATTGTGTTGAGAGTATCGAAGCGCTGTCCGAGTATTGAGTCACCACCTATCAAGTGAGTGCATGGTCCCTTTCATCTTACACATAGATATGAAGTATTTTATATAAACTACGTGCTATGTGTGCATATTATCTGAATACTTGTTGTCTATGCTGGATGAACGTCTTATACATGTTTTAAAGGATTTAAACTGTATACGTATTTTATATATACAAATATGTTGGGTATGATGATGGGTAGATAAATGATGAGAGATAGAGGATGACGTGAGTATACATTGGCAGCTATAGATTTAGTGCCTATGGGACAAACACCGGTAGCTATGGACTTAGTACCTGTCAGACATTGGTAGCTATGGATTTAGTACCTGTTAGGAATTGGTAGCTATGGACTTAGTACCTATTAGTTAGATACTGGTAGCTATGGATTTAGTACCTGTAGGAATTGGTAGCTATGGATTTAGTACCTGTTGAGCGTTGGTAGCTATGGATTTAGTACCCGATGAGTAAGATATAGCAGCTATGGAATTAGTGCTTTATGAACGAACATCGACAGCTATGGATTTAGTGCCAGTCCTATAACCCTGGAAGTAAGGGACTCTGGAATAGACGAATGCGGGATAGATGACTCTTAGGAGTAAAGAAGATAACGGGGATGGGTAATTGGGTTAATTGTTTGCTGATTGAACATAACAATTATATTATTGTGGGTTGAAAACCCTATGTACTCACCATGTTTCCCAACCTGACCCACTCAATTTATTTACATCACAGGTGGCGATATGAAGTGACATTACACTGAGAGATTTAAAAAGATGTAGATCACTAGTGTAAATAATTGTAAGTTCTGTTTATGCTTATGTTTCTGTATTAACGATGACATCCCAAACGTTTTAAGATTAATAAAAATACGTTTCTTCGAAAATGTTTTAATAACGTATTTATCGTGTTTTTCTGGGAACAAATTCCGCAACCTTTTTATAAAATGAAGTACTCTGATTTTCATAAAGCATAAACAAAATCGGTCTTTTCTGGCCGTGATTTTGGGGATGTCACAATATGCAAGTAATCTGATAAAGGTTTTGTGTATATTAACTTTGATATGAACGTACAAAGAAAACCCTAATCAGCAAAAAGCTTACATCAAAAGCTAACCTAATGATTATTTATAGGGAACATAAAATATTTACCAAAAATATAAAACCAATGTCCTAGAAGAACTCGATGAAGAACTTCTACTGTAAAGGCACCGTAGGGAATCAAAAAATGATTAACCCTAAAAAGGCTTCCCTAAATAACTAAACATCCCAAATTTGTTTCAATATCTCAAATACTCAACAATCTCCCTCTAGATGATGAAACTGATGAAAATCACGATTTTCGATCTTCTAGGCATTTCTCCCCCTAAATTGTGAGACTTATCAGCACATTGGGTCTTCAAAGCGAGAAAAATAAATATCATCTTCCAAATACAACCCCCCCTTGAATAATCACTACCCCCCTTGAATCTTCAACAAATACCATGGAGAGAATCCGGAAAGTTAAGAAGAATCACCAACTATCTTCGTTATTTCATAGAGTAAGTCGTATAACCTGATCTGTCATAAGGAGCGAGTTTGCCAAAACAGATCTTCAAAATCTGTCAGATTTGAGGAAATAAATCCTTTTAGAATATACCCAATTCTGAAAAATTAAAACCGGAAGAAATAACAAAAGTTAATTTTGTATTTTTTGATTTTTAGATTTAGACAAAATGAATAGAATAAGAGGCAATTGTTTTGAAGGGTTTAAAAAGAATAAGACCAATGAAAAGGATTAGAAATGAAAATATTTTGGTAAGAAGAGGGACCTGCTTCAGTTTGGTGAAATGGACATCCACACCTTGGCTCATCATCAAATTTTATGTTAGGAAGAGATTTTTGAGGCAATTGCTAAGGAGTTCACAAGCATGATCGTAGAGATTATCGAGAAAAATATGTGGATGGGTGCTATGGGGAGATCGGACGTGCTGGTCGTCGAGAAAGAATGAATATATGCTAGCCTCAAACAAAAAGGGAGACTTTTAGGTCATATTTTGTTGGTTTAAGCTAGACATCAAGATGTATAAGTCTTGATAGGGTTTTGGTCATGTAATGTATGGGTGTTGTATATTTGCGGTTATGAGGGTGTTCACGGTCGTGAACGTGTATACGACCGTGAACATGTTTGCGATTGATTGGTCCCTTTAAATAGTGTCAGATGTATCAGATGAACAATAGTCGTATGTGTGTGTATCCAAGTATACCTGACATTTGCGGTCTTAAGAGACATGTGCATTGTTGGATCCTTCTTTGCTTCTACTCCTTCTTGATTCTTATTGTTTAATTCTTGATTGTGTGTTTGATCACTAGTTGGATCCTGTTTTGGGGACTTACATTTCTAAACTTTCTTTTACAATATTTTTAAAATGTTTCAAAGATTTTATATGACAATTTAATTTTTTTATAACATTTTAAAATACTTTCGTTAAATATTAGTTTAAAACGTTGTATTAAAAAAAATTAAAAGTTTATAAACTTCTAATTAAAAAGTTTTAAAACCTTGGAATAATTTTAAAACATTAACATTATATAGTTTTTTTTGTTTTTTTATTTGCTACGTAAAATATATATATATATATATATATATATATATATATATATATATATATATATATATATATATCCACCACACTTATTGTTAAATATATAATTTGTTTAATTTTATTGTTAGGTACCATTTACTTTTAAAATATTGTAAATGTTTCAAAACAAAAGAAAAAAAAAATATAAAAGGCTATATAAAATATTTCACAAAACAAAAAATATATTTATTAATTAAAAAGTAAAGTTTAAAATTTATTAATATTTAATTAATATTTAGAAAATTATGAATATTTTAAAAATAACGTTTGAAAAAAATAATACAAACAAATAAGAAAAATATAATCGCTATTAAAAGAGAAGAAAATAACTTATCATGGTAATTAACTTTTTGTTTTGTTCATATTTAAACATTTTTTTTTACACATTTAACAATTTAACTTGTTAACACATTACCATTGTCACTTACTATAGCGGGCGACGATGACAATATGTAAACACATATAATAAGTTAAATGGTCAAATGTATAGAAAAATAAAAAAAGTAACACTAAATATGTGAATATGTGAACAAAACGACAAACATAATTATCTTGTTAAGTTATTTTCCCAAAATATAAAGGGAAAATTTCATATATGCCCCTCTTAAACTTCAAAATATCATATTTGCTCAGCTTAATTTCTCAATATCATATTTACCCTTCATAAACCTTCAAAATATCATATTTGCCCAAATCCTTTTTTATAATGTTTTTAATATTTTATAACCATTCTTTATACCTTAGAATTATTATAATAATTAAAAATATTAACCATATTATCCTTACGTCTATAATAATGGAATGTGAACTTCTAGATTGTTGGAATGTTGCCCTCTTGACAAACAAAAAAAATCATATTCAACCCTCTATATAGAATATATATTTTGATTGTCTAGTTTTTGTTGTTGTTGATTATTATCATGTTGTAGATAGAGGTTATTTTAGATATTACCATTGATATTTTGATGTTTAAAATTTACATATACGATATTTTGATATTTAAGAAGGGTATATATGATATTTTGATGTTTAAAAAGGAGATATATGATATTTTGAAAATTTGTGAAGTGTAAATATGATATTTAGAACTTTTATAAAGGATAAATATGATATTTAAAAGTTAAATTAAGTAAATATGATATTTTAATGTTTAGGAATGAAATATATGAAATTCTCTAAAGTATTTAAAAATAAAAAAAAAGGATTTAATTTGTTATTCCCTTGAAGTTCATGATACATGCACGTGTACGGTTCGGTTTAAGACCCATACGACGCCGTCGGATGGACCTCGTTCCGTGTAGCAAATATCATTGTTTACTTCTACTAGTGCCGCTCCAAAAGCACCCCAGGCATGTGCTTTATCCTCTCCAATCGGTGGATCGCCGCCGTGGTCATCGTTGCTCCACACGGACATTCCACCGTCATCACCAAACTCAACACTTTTCTTCTCAGTTTGAGTCTTTAATACCAATAGATCTGTGTGGTGCTGGTTGGTATGTTTTCGATCAGAATAAGAGACAAAAAGGATTCCAGATGAAACCTCTCTCGATCAGGTTCAGATTTTACAATTTCCTCAAATTATTTTCATACGCGTTTCGATTTCTGAAAATTTTACTTTTTTTTATCTTAATAATATGTTAATTCGTCTTAATTTGGTGTTGAAGGTGAAAGATTTTGTGAGGTCAAAATTTAGGGATCTATAAAATTAGATGGCTGATAACATGAACGATGATATGGTTATGGATCTTGATTTGAACCAAGAGCCATTAGTGGACGCTCCACCACCTCCGCCTTTTGGTTATGGTCCTTTGCTAAACGAACTAGAGACCGCACATGGCAGAATCGAGGATCGAATTAGGCAACTTGAAGCTGTTACAGCTAGGGCTAGACAACGCCAGCGATGGCGACAGGCAAGGAACAATCCGGAATTGAGTTACATGACAGTAATCGAGCCAGACGTTGGTGCAGGAAACCAGAATCAAGACGACAATAATGTTCGTGATGTGGATGGAATTGTAAACACTCCTGGTGGTGTCGACGAGAGGGCTACTGGTGAAAGAGGGAGGAACAGCAAAAGAGATATCAGCCAGTTGGCAAAAGCTTTGGAGATGGATTTAGATTCCAAGAAGACAGATAACAATGGAGGTGATGATGATGAAAGTGGCGGATTCTTCGATTGTAACATATGCTTGGAGATGGCAAGGGATCCTATCTTGACTTGCTGTGGTCACTTATTTTGTTGGAGTTGCTTCTATCAGTTGTCATATGTAGATTCAAGTGCAAAAGAATGCCCGGTTTGCAAAGGAGAAGTAACAGATTCAAGCATTACACCAATCTATGGAAATGGAAAGAATCAACCAATCTTGAAGTTGGAATCCGGGGTGAAAATCCCTCCAAGACCTCGAGCACGCAGAGTAGAGAGCATACGTCAGCAAAGGGTAATTAGGGGAATCTCTCATATTCCTGTAGCAGAAGCACTTAGAAGAATCCGAATTGGAATCGGTTCAATTGGGGAAAACCCTCTTCTTCAAGGTCTCAACACTGTAGGAGGAGGACCTACTTCTGAAATAAACCCATCATTGTTACATTCTTCTGAAGCAGCAGGGGGTAGTAGAAGACACCGTTCACGCCCATTCTCAAGGGTAATATCGGAAAGTGCTGCTTCTCTTTCTTCCATTTCATCTGCCCTAAACAACGCAGAGAGATTGGTTGAAGATCTTGAAACATACATCAATGATCGTCTTTTGAGAAGAACAGATGCTTCGCAGCTTCTACCAGGTAATCAAGAACGCAACACTTTTCTTCCAAATGGTGGTGACATTCAAGTTCAACTGGAGCCTCAGAACGCAGAGATGAATATGAGTCCGAATCCTGCTGTCCCTGTTTCTTCTAGTTCTTCTCAAAGAGCGATTGCTACTACTGTTGTGCATTTGGATAATCTATCAACTGATAGTGCTGTAGAGATTGATCTGACTATATCGCATCCTTCTTCTTCTTCTGCTAGGAGAGCTGCTGTTTCAAGGGCGTTGAGTTTGGAAGGTGGGACTTCCAGGGAGCTCAGGAGGAGACGATTGAGGTAATTGTTTTTTGTTTTTTGTTTTTTCTTTTAGAAATGAGATATGAAGTGAACAAAACCAAAAACAACCCAGTTGCTTAAGATTTACATTTAGTCTTGTTTTTTTTTTTTTTTTTTTTTTTTGTTATTACATTGATTTTTCTTTTGGATAGTGAAGTGAACAAGAACATGTTTTAGATGTGGAGAGTGTTGCTATCTGTGTGTCATTTAATATATATCATATGTTTTACAGACTGTGCTTAAGATGTGGAAAATGTAATACCTGATCTCATTTGTTGCTTATACAAAGTCCCTGTGTCATTATTATTTAAAAGTTGAATCAATAATCTTGTTACATCAGAATTATGATTTGAAGATGTCTTTTGATTTTGGTAACTTTGATTTACACTAGCAGTAACCCTAGGATAAAAATCCTTAATGCTTACTTGTTGATTTGGTCCCTGTGCTACAAACTCATGGACAGATAAACCTTTGAATCGAAGTAATAACAGGAAGACTCTAGGGTTTGAAAGGAGGAGGTTTGACCGGAACTAGATTTTTCTTATTCAAGTTTCGTTTTGTTTTCGGAACAAAACCGTATTTGGCCTTGTTTGTGGATGTATTTTTCTTGTCGAACAATTATATAGGTAACGATTAAATGTCCAAAAATATCTTTTTTTTGAAAAATCTCTTATAATAAATGAAGGTTTTTCTTTGCCAGATGTCCTCTTCTCTTTTATTTGGACACTTGGCATTTTCTAAAATTTTTAAAATTTTTTATTTTCCACTTGTTATTTTATTATATTTTTCATTTTTTTAAACTAAAATTCCATATATAATGTTTAATATAATATATATGTAAAGTATTTATTAAAAAAGGTTTATATATGTAATGTATTAAATACATTAAAGTTTTAATAATTTTAATAATTAATTTTTTTTTCATTTTTCTTATAAATTCAAACTTTTCAAATTATTAAAATTTCATATTTTTTTTAACTAAACCCATGTAATACATGGTCTCACACCTAGTTCATTATCAAATAAAAATTATTATTGACAAATTATCAACAAACTACATGTTGTATCTTCTTGTTTCATTAGATTTTATTTTGTTACATAAAAGTTATTCTATTTGAAAATAAAACATATATATCCCGACCATCGTGACCTCTACTATTGTTTATTAGGTTATTATGTTAATTTTTTTTTCGTGTTTAGACATTTTATTTATTTTTTAATAAATTATTCGCTGGTTTTATAAAATCATCCAACTTTAACAAAAAAAAAAAAATTCTAACTACACCATAATAACAATTTTTTTTTGTTTTTTGTTTTGTTTTTTTGTGTGTTTTAAAGGTGATATGATTTTTGTAAGGCTGTGGGGAGTGGTCACTACCAACCCATCGAAAAAGTGGTGTCATCACTGCATTACGTCAGTTTCAGCTTCATTACTAACCCGTTACCAACTCATTACACATAGAAAATAGTCATCACTAACAATATTTTTTTTAATTTTTTATAACATTATATTAAATAAAAAACATAATTTATAACATAAATATATATATATTTTTATTTTTTGTAACATTATATTAAATAAAAAAACAAAATTTATAACATAATTAAGTATTTTATTTTTTATATTTTTTTGTAACATTATATTAAATAAAAAAACATAATTTATATCATAAATAAATTTTTTGAAAACACAAATAAAACCACATTTCATTAATTAAAAACATAGAAATTTAAAACATAAATTACTAAAATAACATAAAACATAACAAATCAAACATTACACTATTTAATTAAAAAACAAAAAACTTAAAACATAAAAACCTCAGACAAATATTACTCATTGTCGTTATCGCCCTCACCCGCCTCATCGTCATCATCTGCATTCGTCTCGTTATCATCGCCCTCATCCTCTTCGTCTTCATCGTCATTTCCCCCTTGGAGCTGTCTCCCCCATATGTGTTTCGTTAATCGTGGCGACTTTTAGCTTCTAAAGCTTAAGAATGCTCATATCTGAAAACCTTACGTCCCCAAAAGCTCATAACTCAGAAATGGCCCAAAAATGACAACATGCAACCCTAGAAGAAGATCGAAGTGAAAAGAAGCCAAGTTATAAACTTTATACCTCCAAAGGGTCTGAAATGCAACACAAGCTCTGGATCTACTCTTTCTTCTTGAATCACCAAGGGTCTCCTTCCTTCTCCTAGCTTCAAAGCACACAAAATGGCAAGAAACTAGCTCAATAACATACAAGGTTGATTAGGGTTTCAAGAGCAGGCTGTGGAGGTGATGGAGGCTGGGGTGGAGGCCTGATATGATGCTTAAGTAGGGTGCGAACCCTAAAGATTAGGGTTTCCTCCTGACGGACCTACTCGTCGAGTCAAGGCTTTTGACTCGTCGAGTAGACCACTTAAAGCCCGCTTCCAAACTGGCATCTACTCGACAAGTTAGGGCTACCAACTCGTCGAATCGCTCTTACAAAATACATACTTAAATAAATTAGATGCGTACCAAGAACGGGACGTTACATAATCTTCAAATTAAGTGCAACTTACAAGAAATGATCCTTTTATCTCTTGCATAAAACATAACACCAAATGTGTACACCTTCAATCCTTCCATATCTATAGGTTATTTTCTTTCCTTAGTTTACTACTTTCTTTATGCCATATGTTAGGGTTAGCTGCAGAAAATAGCAACGTACTTTCATATTGATGGTGTATTATACCATTCTATTTTCATATATATAAATTGTGGAGTTATAGTTCCAATTTTTTATGTTAAGACACTATACATTTTAACATCTACCCAATAATGGAATTATACTTTTAATGTTTTCATAATAAGACATTATACTTTCAATATGTTGCATGTCGCTTTTTAAAATACCAAAATTGACCTTCGTGGGCCGTGCTCAGCACGACCCTCTAAAATTCGCTAGTATATATATATATATATATATATATATATATATATATATATATATATATATATATATATATATATATATATATATATATATATATATATATATATATATATATCCCAACCACTATGACCTCTAACACTGCTTTAACATGTTATGATGTTATATATATATATATATATATATATATATATATATATATATATATATATATATTTCCTTTTGTGTTAAGCTTATTTTTTTATTCTAATAAATTAGTTTTATAAAATCATCCTAACTCTAACAAAAACAAAATAATTAAACGATAATAATAACTTTTTTTTATTACATTTACACCAAAATTTTCTCATCGCCTTCACCGCCACAAAAGACAAAACCAACCTCAAGTATTAGACTAACTGGTATGGAAGAAGAAGCTACATGTGACATCCTTTATGACATACAAAGTCACGCATGAACGCCGCCCCCAAAAGATGTAGGTGTCTTGTGGAGTGGTTGGGGCTACTCTTGTTCATTGAGAGTTTTGAATGGATATTTGAATTTTTGATTGCTAACTATGTATACGTTTGGAATTTAAAAAAAAAAATTAAAACTTAACCCATTAACCTATATACGCGAATACTTAAACATATTTTTACACCCTTCAAACACACTCTTTCAACAATATGAATAAATTTTTTTGCTTCAAATTCTTCTTCATCCGATGATGATGAGTTTGTTTTGCATGCGTTGTTGTCAACGGCACACAACATAGTGCGTAAGAGAGTCGAACGTTCAAATGTCGAAAAGAAGCATAGAATTTCATTAAGCAGGATAGTATTGCGGAAAAAAAATATTTTGGATAATTGACATACGACATAGCTAAAAATAAATCTAATGTGTATTTGAAAATGTTTGAGAGGACGGATCAAGAATGTACATATATTTTCTATGAGTATGTTATAGAGCTTTATAGTGACATACACTTGAAAAATACAATTAGAAGTGATGTCGAACAGTTGTATATCGCACATCAAGCTAAACATGGTTTTCCAAGAATGATTAGTAGCCTTGATTTTACATATTGAGCATAGGAAAATGGTCCCAATACATGGCGAGTTCAATTCACGCGAGGTGATCATGGTCTGACGACTGTTATATTAGAAGATGTTTTACATGAGCTACGGTTTTCTCATGTATTATTTGGTATGGTAGGGTTGAACAACAACGTCAATTGACTTGGAGCGTCTCCGCCATTTAACAACATTTTGTAGGGTAAAGCACAAAATATGTCATATGTTGTGAATAGACATGGATATAATTATGGGTATTACATTGGTGATGGGATATATCTAAGAGTATGCTACATTTGTTAAGTCATACTCATATTCAGTCGATGAAAATGAAATTTTTTCAAGTTGGTATAGGAATTTGCAAGGAAGGATGTGGAATGGGTGTTTGGAGTCCTCAAAAGCAAGTCACACATAATCAAACATCTAATACGAGCATGGGATAGGGCAAAATTAAAGAAGGTGTTGAAATTTTATGTTATTTTACATAACATGGTAATAGAAAAAGAGGGTAGGCCTATTTGTACATCTAGTTCAAATGATAAACTTAATCCAACTTCAATAATACAAGTCGGCAACCTAACATATTTCACAAGGCTTTTGGAAATACAAAAAAATGGAACATGTCACAATTTAACTAAGCACATATGGGAAAGGCAATTCAAATAATACAATGACAATGATGATGATAAGGATGAGGACGCGGACGATGAGAACGACTCTGATGACAACGACGAGTAGTATATTCTATTTGCTAGTTTAATTTCAATATTTTTTTTATTAGTAATGTAAGCTTTAATTTATATTTATTTTCAATTTCTGATGTAGACTTAAATTCCAAGTATTAATGTTTTATGTATTTTTTTATTAGTAAAATGTTTATTGATTTTTAAAATTATGTACTTTTTTTATTAGTAAAATATTTATTAATGTTAAATAATTGTATTTTATTTATTTAATATAATGTCAAAAAAGATAAATAATGTGGAATGGTCACCATTTCCAAGGGCTAGTAGTATGGTAGTGAACATGTAGTGGAGATGATGTGGCACAGATGTGACATCATTTTTCTAATTGGTTGGTAGCGAGCATACCCCATAGCCTTAGGTTCGAAGAAGCTTCATGGGTTCATGTGAAAAATCACACCTCTCCCCAAAACTATATTACCCCTCCTTTTCACAATGATCACACAACTTGGTCTTAAAATTATATTCTTCACTACCATCACCGCCACCAGCAAGGTCTATAAGTAGTTCACGAATCATGGTACGTTCCATTTTTATCCTTTCAAGCCTTCCTTGAAGCAACACAATCTTTTGATTTTGGTTACTTTCATGATCACCGACAGAAAGTATTACACTACTAAACCGACCTATTATCTTTGTGCTGGCTAAATCTTTACCAAACATAGCTTCCCCCAGTGATACATCTATGCTAATTTTTGCGATACCCGATTCACCAAAGTATCCGTCCATATCAGGCGGTATTAGGTGGTAGGTCAACGTCATCAGGTGGTTTTCATATAGTCTACTGCCAATATCAGTATAGATTTGGGAAAAATGAAACATGTACCAAAAAGTACACCCTTCTATGGTGTTCATTTTATTGCACAACTTGGAGTTCACTCTCAAGGGTAGTGGTGTTGGTGGTTGATTATAGCTGCCATGAAA